GAATGGTGCAAAGTACAGAGAGATCCTTGATGAAAACCTACACCAGAGCGCTCAGGACCTTAGACTGGAGCAAAGGTTAACCTTCCAACAGGACAACGACCCTAAGCACACATCCAAGACAACGCAGGAGTGGCTTCCGGACAAGTCTCTGAATTTCCTTGAGTGGCCCAGCCAGAGGCCGGACTTGAAACCGATCTAACATTTCTGGAGAGACCTGAAAATAGCTTGAGAGGATCTTCAGAGAAGAATAGGAGAAACTCCCCAAATACAGGTGTGCCAAGCTTGTAGCGTCATACCCAAGAAGACTTGAGACTTTAATCACTGCCAAAGGTGCTTCAACAAAGTACTGAGTAAATGGTCTGAATACTTAAGTAAATATGACTTTTCAGTTTTGTAATGTTTTTACTTTGTATTTATATGGGGTATTGTGTGTAGATTGATGGGGGGGGGAAACTATTTAATCCACTTTAAAATAAGTCTGTAATGTAACAAAATGTGTAAAAAGTGAAGGGGTCTGAATACTTTCCAAATGCACTGTAGTTGAGTAAACCCATGTAATCTAACACTACTTACTTTCCTGAGTCGACCAAACATCAGTGATTTTACTGGAGAGATTACTGGATTATTCAGACAGCAATAGAGCTCAGACCGCTACATATATGAAACAATTCATTGTTCAACACATTTTTATTTATTACATATATGATTGATATGAGATAATATTTCATAAATATGGCTTAGTCCTACATGGTGTACTTTAAATAGTAGCTACAAGAGTAATACGGCTATACACCTGCGAAACCTACTGTAGGGTACTTTTGAACATCAAGGTGAATAATGACCATTTTGTAACATCAAATGTAGTCAGTCACAGAGTAAAACAGACTTTACCTGTAGAACAAGCAGTTCATAATCCCCATTACAGCTCGATACAATGGAATAATGCTCTACTAAAAGACAAGGTTCTCAGGACACTGTTCTTCACCATACACCTGATGCTGTTCCTCCTTGTGGGGACACCACCATGCCTGCCTCTTCTCTGTCCGGTAGCATCAGTGTAACAACCCTCACCATGCACAGCCAATGGGGGGTGTTTGTGTGTGTGCATGTGTAACTTCCCAAAGAGACCATAGTCATTCACCCAGCACCCCTCCTCCTTCCCCTCATCCCCCTTCTAACCCACCCCTCCCTCCGAATTCACGCCCCTAGACCTCCCAACACAATGCCCCCCTGAGCCCCAGCCCAGCCCCAGCACAGCCCGGGCACAACCTAAATCATAGTGCACCATTCATTCAATCATTGTTTTTTCCCTCTTTCACCCCCTTTATGGGCCTACTAAAGGTTTTAGCCGGGCAGAGGAGGGCTGTCACCCAGGGAACCTTAGCCCATTGATGAAGTGACAGGCGCTGCCAGAATATGATCCTAATCCTGTTTCCAGCATTATCTTAGCCCGCTGGCATCGCAATTCCTCCACACATTCTCCGAGCTGTCAACGATGAAAATCCCTCTAATAGCGCATTGCCCAGATACACATCAAAGAGCTCCTGGAAACCTTCCTTCACTGGCTTAGCAGCGCCGAAGACACACAAACACACACATACATGATCACACACACATGCAAAAGTGTGCACACACACACAAACAAGTGTGTATACATACACACAGCATTAACATGAACCATTTCACACACAACTCACAATATACAAAGTTGTGTACACGCGCAGACCCCACTGATCGATGTAACATGACAACATGATCATACAGGCTTGAACATCTTTTAATCCCAATATTTCTACGCCAGGATTTATTATATCAACAAATTAGGTTTAATGACATAGCTAGGACGTTGTTGTTTATTCCTTCAAATAATTATTTTGTACACTAACTTGATAGCCTTCAGTTAAACTGGATAGAGAGATTTCTGATCTTATGGGTTGTTGAGGGAGTGAGAGACAGAGAGGAAGAAAGAGAGAGAGGGGGACCGGAGAAAACAGGTGTCTGAACTTTGCTGACTCTAGGAACCTTTTCAGTTTTATTTCATCTTATTCTATTCTTACTTAATCCATCGATATCCCAACCCAAGTTAATCTTATTATGGCAAAGCATTCTGTTTCGGTGCAGCCAAACCTCGGATGACAGGGCCGAGAAGGGGAGTGGGGGTTTGGGGACTCTTTAGAGCCTGACACTGTGCTTCAGTCATTTCATTTAGGATTAGTTACTCTGCATTCGGTGAACAAGTGGCAGGGGCTGTGTGTGTGTGTGTGTGTGTGTGTGTGCGTGGATGTGTTTAACTATACTTGTGGGGACCAGAAGTAAAGAAACAAACAAACAAACAAAAACAAAATTTGACCAACTGGGGACATTTTGTTAGTCCCCACAGGGTCAAATGCTATTTCTAGGGGGTTAAGGTTAGAATTAGTCTTAGGGTTAGAATTGGGTTTAGGGTTAGGAGCTATGGTTAGTGTTAGGAGCTATGGTTAGTGTTAGGAGCTAGGGTTAGGTTTTGGGGTTAAGGTTTAGTGTTAGGGGTTAGGGAAAATAGGATTTTGAATGGGACTAAATTGTGTGTCCCCACGAGGTTAGTTATACAAGACTGTGTGTGTGTACTGTTTGACATGAAGGTCCTTAAACAGGGACTTCAGCTCTGTACATAGGGGTTGGGTGTAAGATGGAAACAATTCCAAAGTTTTTAAAACTTTTAGAAATACGTTTTTGTGCAACTGTGTGCGCGCGCATCTGCAGGAGTACATGCATGTCAGAGTTTGAGTGTGTTCGTGCGTGTGTGTGTGTGTTTGTCTGTTTGTTTGTTTGCTGAAGGCCAGGTTCCCTGCTGTGCTAGTGATTTCACACTGCGGGGTGGTGGGGTAAGCCTCCTGCTGTGTGATCCTCCATGGTTCAGGAGTTGTTCTGGTAGTCTGTTGAGCCACTCTGATCTAGCTGCTCCACCAGGTAGCCACCCATGGTCCCAAAGCTCTGGTAAGTACGGTGGCCCTAAGGGGCAAACTACACTGAACAAAAATATAAACGCAACATGCATATAATATAAACGCAACACGTGCTGGTCCCATGTTTCATGAGCTGAAATAAAAGATCCCAGAAATGTTCCATCCCTGTTAGTAAGTATTTTATCCTTTGTCAAGATAATCCATCCACCTGACAGGTGTGGCATATCAAGAAGCTGATTAAACCGCATGATAATTACACAGGTGCACCTTGTGCTGGGGACAATAAAAGGCCACTCTAAAATGTGCAGTTTTGTCACGCAACACAATGCCACAGATGTCTCAAGTTTTGAGGGAGCGTACAATTGGCATGCTGACTGCAGGAACGTCCACCAGAGCTGTTTCCAGATAATTGAATGTTAATTTCTCTACCATATGCCGCCTCGTCGTTTTAGAGAATTTGGCAGTATATCCAACCGGCCTCACAACCGCAGATCACGTGTAACCACGCCAGCCCAGGACATCCACATCCGGCTTCTTCACCTGCGGGATCGTCAGAGGGGGGAGGGCGGGGTGCTGAGGAGAATTTCTGTCTGTAATAAAGCCCTTTTGTGGGGAAGAGCTCATTCTGATTGGCTGGGCCTGGCTCCCCAGTGGGTGGGCCTGGCTCCCAAGTGGGTGGGCCTATGGCTGCGGCCCTGGGCAGTCATGTGAAATCCATAGATTAGGGCCTAATTTATTTATTTAAATTGACTGATTTCCTTATACAAACTGTAACAGCAAAATCTTTTAAATTGTTGCATGTTGCGTTTATATTTTTGTTCAGTATAGCTTTCAAAACACAAAACACGAGTAGAAAAAAAATGGAAGGCTTACACATGTAAACATGCAAATTGTCTCTGTTGCCTGTGATATATTCACAACATAATTATTCATAAATTGTATTGCATGATTTTAATTATCGTCTAAAATAATCATCTCATTCACCAATCGATCTTCATACATGTGGTTTATTCCCTTGCATTTTAACAGATAAATTACTCACATTTAAGTAAACAATTGAGAAATACATGTCTGCGATCTACAATGATAAAATACATACAGCTTTGGCCTGGGTGCCAGTGTGTTTCTGCTTTAGTCAATAACATAATTTTTTTGTCATTGTCTTGACTCCGTAAAGATGTAGCGCTCTTGAACGCATGCAGAAACAGCCTGGCACCCAGGCAAACATAACATAGCTAGATTAAACAGATTCATATTTGAACGTCGCTCTGTTCCCACCGTAGACTATAATCTTTACCCCAGCAGGTATTGGCTCATTCTACTGTAGGTCCTTTGCATAAAGCCACAATGGAACAATTCAAAAATAGCTTGAATGTTTCCTCTTTAAGTCCTTGACACAAAAGGAGACACCGACTTATACTCCCTAACCAAGCAGATGGGATGGGAACAAACAAGGAGGAATATTTACAGTACAATGTGGAATAAATTCTTGCAGATGGGATGTAGCTCTTAAACAGGAAGTACCGTCCATCTGCCAGGTGCAGGGAATTGTGGGATTTGTAGGGCCAGTCTGTCCTGTTGTAAATGTTTTTGAATGGGTTTTGATCTGAAGCTGGAATCTTGGTTCAATCTTTGTGCCATTTCTATTTTTGTGCTGTTGTAATCCTTGTCTCAGGATGCATGCAAAGCTCATCTTTAATGTTACTGTCACCCTCGCTCTAGTGTTGAGATCATCAGATATTGTAAACCGTCATGCATTTGCCCTAGTATGAGATGACGGCTTTGTGATATAGGAGTGTAGCTTTTGAGTTCTCTGATCCAAATGGTTTGGTGGGTAGCAGTAGTGAGATTAGACTGGGTCTATGCATCTAACCTGCAAGGTGGTCAAATAAGTAGTGTCCGGTAGGTTACTGATCTAATGTCCAGTCCCAGTGTCCAAAACTGATGCAGTGTCTATAATGTCCAGTCAGTGATGATGTCAGTAGAATGATTCATAACGTCTCGCTGTGTCCTTGGTAGCTGCCCTGCTCTGGGCGGAGGTCAGTCTGTTGGTCAGTTGGGTAGTGTGTCCAGGCCCAGGGAGGCAGCGTGCTGCTTGGCCCTCAGACGCAGGTTCTCGATGCTGGTGGTCTTGCTGTTGAGGCTGGGAATGCTGCCCGGAGGAGCCTGGAGACCTGCCAGGGGGCTGTTCCACACCTGCTGGGCCTGGGACAGTGATGCCTGGGACAGGGACTGGTAGTAGGATTGGCAGGGCAGGGAGCTCAGGGGGGAGGGCATGTTGACGTTCATGCCTAGGTAGGGCAGGGAGGAGGGGGTACCCATGTCAAAGGAGGGGTAGTGGACCATGTTGTTGGTGGCGGCCATGTGCTGGCGGAACTGCTCCTGCAGGCGGAAGAGGCTGAGGGGGGACGAGGCGTAGGAGCCCTGGGACAGACCACTGCTGCCCATGCCACCACTGGAGGAGGGGAGGGAGGGAGAGCCCAGGGGAGAGTCTGATGATGAGAGGGAGAAGAAGATTTTGGTTTTAGTTAGGTCAAAAGATAATTGTAAACTGGATAGTTTGGGTCCTGGTTGCTGATTTGGTGCCAATATACCACAGCTAAGGGCTGTATCCAGGCACTCCGCTTTTTGTCGTGCATAAGAACAGCCCTTAGCTGTGGTATATTTAAGCAATAAGGCCCGAGGGGGTGTGGTATATGGCCAATATACCACGGCTAAGGGCTGTTCTTAAGCATGCAACGTGGAGTGCCTGGACACAGCCCTTAGCCGTGGTATATTGGCCATATATAACAACCCCCCCGAGGTGCCTTATTGCTATTACAAACTGGTTACCAACATAATTAGAGCAGTAAAAATAAATGTTTTGTCATACACGTGGTATACCACGGCTGTCAGCCAAACCACCCAGTTCATAATGGCCAATATTCCACACCCCCTTGGGCCTTATTGCATAAATAACCACCACTGTTTATGTATAGTTTATGCACTTCATAGAATTGTTCAGTGTTTGTTGCAATGACTAATAAAAGACAATTCCGTTTTATAAGCTGGCTCACAGTCTCTACAGTGAGGGGGAAAAAAGTATTTGATCCCCTGCTGATTTTGTACGTTTGCCCACTGACAAAGAAATGATCAGTCTATAATTTTAATGGTAGGTTTATTTGAACAGTGAGAGACAGAATAACAACAACAAAATCCAGAAAAACGCATGTCAAAAATGTTATAAATTGATTTGCATTTTAATGAGGGAAATAAGTATTTGACCCCCTCTAAGTCAGAAAGATTTCTGGCTCCCAGGTGTCTTTTATACAGGTAACGAGCTGAGATTAGGAGCACACTCTTAAAGGGAGTGCTCCTAATCTCAGTTTGTTACCTGTATAAAAGACACCTGTCCACAGAAACTCTCCACCATGGCCAAGACCAAAGAGCTCTCCAAGGATGTCAGGGACAAGATTGTAGACCTACACAAGGCTGGAATGGGCTACAAGACCATCGCCAAGCAGCTTGGTGAGAAGGTGACAACAGTTGGTGCGATTATTCGCAAATGGAAGAAACACAAAATAACTGTCAATCTCCCTCGGCCTGGGGCTCCATGCAAGATCTCACCTCGTGGAGTTGCAATGATCATGAGAATGGTGAGGAATCAGCCCATAACTACACGGGAGGATCTTGTCAATGATCTCAAGGCAGCTGGGACCATAGTCACCAAGAAAACAATTGGTTACACACTACGCCGTGAAGGACTGAAATCCTGCAGCGCTCGCAAGGTCCCCCTGCTCAAGAAAGCACATATACAGGCCCGTCTGAAGTTTGCCAATGAACATCTGAATGATTCAGAGGAGAACTGGGTGAAAGTGTTGTGGTCAGATGAGACCAAAATCGAGCTCTTTGGCATCAACTCAACTCGCCGTGTTTGGAGGAGGAGGAATGCTGCCTATGACCCCAAGAACACCATCCCCACCGTCAAACATGAAGGTGGAAACATTATGCTTAGGGGGGTGTTTTTCTGCTAAGGGGACAGGACAACTTCACCGCATCAAAGGGACGATGGACGGGGCCATGTACCGTCAAATCTTGGGTGAGAACCTCCTTCCCTCAGCCAGGGCATTGAAAATGGGTCGTGGATGGGTATTCCAGCATGACAATGACCCAAAACACACGGTCAAGGCAACAAAGGAGTGGCTCAAGAGGAAGCACATTAAAGTCCTGGAGTGGCCTAGCCAGTCTCCAGACCTTAATCCCATAGAAAATCTGTGGAGGGAGCTGAAGGTTCGAGTTGCCAAACGTCAGCCTCAAACCTTAATGACTTGGAGAAGATCTGCAAAGATGAGTGGGACAAAATCCCTCCTGAGATGTGTGCAAACCTGGTGGCCAACTACAAGAAACATCTGACCTCTGTGATTGCCAACAAGGGTCTTGCCACCAAGTACTAAGTCATGTTTTGCAGAGGGGTCAAATACTTATTATCCTCATTAAAAGGAAAATCAATTTATAACATTTTTGACATGCGTTTTTCTGGATTTTTGTTGTTGTTATTCTGTCTCTCACTGTTCAAATAAACCTACCATTTAAAATTATAGACTGATCATGTCTTTGTCAGTGGGCAAACGTACAAAATCAGCAGGGGATCAAATACTTTTTTCCCTCACTGTATGTATGGCCCAATATCTGTGACTATGATAGAGGAGTTCTCACCTGGTGTGGGGCTGAGGCGTTTGCAGGACGGAGATCCACATCCCGGCTGCAGCCCTGCATCCTCCTGCTGCACCTCCCCCTGATGCTGCTGCTGCGTTCCCTCCTGCAGCCTCTCCCTCCTCAGCTCTTCCTCTCCCTCACCGTTGTCTTCGGTGGCTGACTCGCTGTCTGAGGGCTCTGGGGAGGTGACGTTCACCTCCACGTTCATCTCTGCAGGCTGGGGCCGCATCGACTCCAAGAGGGAGGAGGACGTGGAGGAGGAGGGAGGTGGAGGGCTCTGGGTGGAGGGCACACTCGTGGTGGAGGTGTCCTTGGTCTTGACCTCCTCCTTGTCACACCCCTCTCCGTTGGCCTCCTTCTGTTTCTGGAGCTGCTCCTTCTGGAGGCTGCGCTGCTTCTTGCGGAACTTGGCGCGGCGGTTTTTGAACCACACCTGGTGAGAGGAAGGATTTCAGTTGTTTTACAGTAATAACACAATGTAATTACTTTTGAATCTCAGATCATCTTTTGGCTGAAATGTACTGCTATGAAAACTGTAGTTCTCTATCATAGCCAAGGCTTCTGGTACTGTCAATATTGGTGATTTGATTTTATAGACATCTTTGATGTGTCAAATGTGTACATTGTTGATTCTCACAAATATAATTTTAACTGATAACAATTTTACTTCTACACTGAACAAAAATATAAAGGCAACATGCAACAATTTCAAAGATTTTACTGAGTTACAGTTTATATATGGAAATTAATCAATTTAAATGAATTCATTAGGCCCTAATCTATGGATTTGACATGACTGGGAATACAGATATCCATCTGTTGGTCACAGATACCTTTTTAAAAAAGGTAGGGGCATGGATCAGAAAACCAGTCAGTATCTAGTGTGACCACCATTTGCCTCATGCAGCGCGACACATCTCCTTCACATAGAATTGATCAGGCTGTAGATTGTGGCCTGTGAAATGTTGTCCCACTTCTCTTCAATGGCTGTGCGAAGTTGCTGGATATTGGCAGGAACTGGAACACGCTGTCATACACGTCGATCCAGAGCATCCCAAACATGCTCAATGGGTGACATGTCTGGTGAGTATAAAGGCCATGGAAGAACTGGGATATTTTCAGCTTCCAAGAATTGTGTACAGATCCTTGAGACATGGGGCCGTGCAATATCATGCTAAAACATGAGTTGATGGCGGCGGATGAATGGCACTACAGTGGGCCTCAGGATCTCGTCACGGTATCTCTGTGCATTCAAATTGCCATCGATAAAATGCAATTGTGTTCGTTGTCTGTACTTTATGCCTGCCCATACCATAACTCCACCGCCAGCATGGGGCACTCTGTTCACAACGTTGACATCAGCAAACCGCTCGCCCACATGATGCCAGACACGCTATCTGCCATCTGTCCGGTACAGTTGAAACCGGGATTCATCCGTGAAGAGCACACTTCTCCAGCATGCCAGTGGCCATCGAAGGTGAGCATTTGCCTACTGAAGTTGGTTACGACGCCAAACTGCAGTCAGGTCAAGACTCTGGTGAGGACAACGAGCACACAGATGAGCTTCCCTGAGACGGTTTCTGACAGTTTGTGCAGAAATTATTTGGTTGTGCAAACCCACAGTTTCATCAGCTGGCCTGAAGGTGAAGAAGCCGGATGTGGAGGTCATGGGCTGGCGTGGTTACACGTGGTCTGCGGTTGTGAGGCCGGTTGGATGTACTGACAAGTTCTCTAAAACGATGTTGGAGGCAGCTTATGGTAGAGAAATTAACATTAAATTATCTGGCAACATCTCTGGTGGATATTCCTGCAGTCAGCATGCCAATTGAACGCTCCCTCAAAACTTGTGACAAAACTGCACATTTTAGAGTTGCCTTTTATTGTCCTCAGCACAAGGTGACCTATTTAATGATCATGCTGTTTAATCAGCTTCTTGATATGCCACACCTGTCAGGTGGATGGATTATCTTGGCAAAGGAGAAATGCACACTAACAGGGATGTAAAAAAAATGGTGTGCATTGTGTGTATTCAAATTGTGTGTATTTTAAATTGCCGTCGATAAAATACAACTGTGTTCGTTGTCTGTAGCTTATGCCTGCCCATACCATAACTCCACCGCCACCATGGGGCACTCGGTTCACAACGTTGACATCAGCAAACCTCTCGCCCACACGACGCCATACACATGGTTGTGAGGCCGGTTGGACGTACTGCCAAATTCTCTAAAACAATGTTGTAGGCGGCTTATGGTAGAGAAATTAACATTAAATTCTCTGACAACAGCTCTGGTGGACATTCCTGATGTCACCATGCCAATAGCATGCTCCCTCAGAACTTGATACATCTGTGGCATTGTATTGTGTGAAAAAACTGCACATTTTACAGTGGCCTTTTATTGCCCCCAGCATAAGGTGAACCTGTGTAATGATCATGCTGTTTAATCAGCTTCTTGATATGCCACACATTAGGTGGATGGTTTATCTTGGCAAAGGAGAAATGCTCACTAACAGGTATGTAAACAAATTTGTGCACAAAATTTGAGAGAAATAAACCTTTTTGTGAGTATGGAACATTTCTGGGATCTTTTATTTCAGCTAATGAAACATGAGACCAACACTTTACGTTTTTATATATTTTTGTTCAGTATATTTTGCTCTTCCTGTCAGCAGAATTCAAAAACATCCAATAGTCATGGCCAGAAAAAAATTAATCTGCCCAAGACTGACAGCATTGGAGACCTTTGGTATGGGCCCTGCTATGTTTCTCCAGGAATGAAGAGGATTAAGTAAGTATTGCTCTTTATCATCCTCACTCCACCTCAGAAGATGAGAACCAGGTGAAATACTTTCTTTTGACTCCATAGTATCCTCACCTGCACACGGGCCTCTGGCAGGTTGGTGCACATGGCCAGGCGCTCACGCATCACCACGTCAGGGTAGTGGGTCTTCTGGAAGGTCTTTTCCAGGGCCTCCAGCTGCTGGGCAGTAAAGGCTGTGCGACTGCGCCGCTGCTTTCGGTGCTGGGAGCCATACCGGGCCTCAAGGATGATGTCTTGAAATGTGCAGCCGTTGAAGGAAAAGATACAGGGACAATTTAATTGAGAGATGGGCTCAGAATGTGGATTTAAGTAAATGCATCAATTTATAGCGTAAGACACTTAGTTCAACTATGTCAAGAGTCCTTTAACAAGACAACAGACTTGTCCATCACATAGCATTTGCCTAATTGTATTGCAAATAGTTCTGACTTATGGACAGATTTAGGCTATATGGGCGGCGCACAATTGGTCCAGCGTCATCCAAGGTAGGGGAGGGTTTGGCCGGCAGGGATGTGGGTTCGTTTCCCACGGGGGGCCAGTATGAAAAAAACCACAAAAAAAACATGTATGCATTCACTAACTGTAAGTCGCTCTGGATAAGAGCGTCTGCTAAATGACTAAAATGTAAATGTAAATGTTACCAGCCAGTCTCTCTGCCAGGGTGAGCGCGTGCACCGACGGCCGGTAGTCAGGCGCGTGCTGCGCCTGCTGCGCCGCCTGCTGGTGGAGGTTGTACATGGCGCTTAGTGAGTTCATTGCGTGGAGAGAATATCCATTCACTCCGTAGTGCTGCATGGCTGCCGTCAACTTCAAACAAAGTGGGAAAAGTTGTTGTTTATGGGCATTTGTAATTACACAATTTTGAGGTTATGTGTAGCTACAAGTCAAACAATGTATTGTTATTTATTGTTGAATTAAAGCCTAAAACCATAGTGTAATATCAGTGTGGATTTATCAAGGCTATAGTCTTGTAAATAGCCTGTAGATATAGATTAATAGATCATTCAAAGATCAAGTAGGCTTAAGTTATTATCACCTACTTTTATTATATCTTCATTTTCCATTCCCATACATTTTATTAAAACCATTTCGCCTGTCAATAGCTAACTTCTAATACCTTTAATGGGGCACCTGCATTTGGAGATGATCCAATATTGCATCAGTTATTATATGGCTATAACTGTAAATATTTGTCTTTGTATAGATTAAAGCTGAGAGTGAGACATTATAATATGATGGCATTGAGAAGCCAAGCCAGCCTCCACTAACCCTAACCCTCTGTTCCCACGCAAAGCTCGCTATTTAACCAGCCTGTCCCAAGAGAGTTCCCCCCACTAAAGCCCCAGGGGCTGTATGAAATAATTAGCCTATCCTCCTGTGTTATCTCAACATTAATGCTGATATTGATATTCATTATTTTTATGTCGCACTTGACGTTGTGCCTGAAAGCAAAGCGTCGTGGGCCTACTAAATAGGCAACATATAGAGTCCCTACAGCGCAAGCTGAAGTTAAAAACGACAATGAAAGGTCAACAGAAAACTACACAATAATCAGAAATTAATCGGGGACTTTGCTCTGAAAAATCACATAAAAGCAAATAAATTGGCGTGACCGGCAGACTAAATTATTAAATGCTATAATGTTTTCATTAAGAGTCCTATAAATTGCATAATTATTGTCATATACATGTGTTAGCAAATTAGCGTGTTTAATAGCCTAGGTAATTTGTATTTACACATAGATTACGATAAAATGATCCAAGCCTACGACATAAATCAAAATGTTTGTCAGTGCGTTGAGAATTTAATCGCAAACTGTTAATTTTTTTTAAAGTAATGACGAATCATGTTTATTTTTGTTATTATTATTATTATTTATTTATTAAGACAAGTTGGTATCGCTTTATTTGCGTGCATATTGCGTTCATAATTTGGAATACTGACTGCAATGTTGGTATTTTAAGAATAATTATAAGTAGGCCTGCAATAATATTTATTTGAATATAATTTTCAATCCCTCAAATAGGTGAATTCAAGGATGTCTGTTTTGGATCTATTTATTTGCTATATTTAGCAGTCTTTTATTTTATATGCTCTTGGGAATGAAAGCCCTAAGGGTGACAGCGGGAATGTGTAGGCTAACACAACAATAATCTAAATACAGTAGCCTAATTATAGTGTCAGACCCCTATCACGAGTTTAACATTTAATATTGTAATTGATAATGCAGAAATGTAGAATGTATGAAGTGAAATTATAAAAATGGGTAATACAAGTTTAATATAATAATAATAATTGAACGCTTATAACCTGATAGGCCTATATACGTTTATATCAATATCATCCATATTTTCACTTTCTTATATTGTCACCAAATGCAGGAGCATGAACATTTATCAAGATCTAACAATATCTGAATGTTTGAATGCTACAAATCTTGATTTATCAGTTATGATGGAAGCATATAGGCTACCTATTATAAATTAGCTCGTTTTTTGCCATGCCAATAATACAGTATAGTGTAACGACAAGGTCATTTCAGACATATTTACAGGGATTATCATAAGCCTAAAATACAGCCTATCTTAGATAAGGCTTACTTTTAACTGTAATGTATTTGAGAAAAACATTTTTTTAAATGACAATACAATGAGTTACAATAAACTGGAACATGCCATAGCCCACAGGTCAAGAAATCCGTTTTTCTGTATTCGCTAGCGAATCTTTGCCAGCCAGCCATGAGGGAACACTTTACATAGGCCTGGACGGGACAGAATGTGCATGGCTAAATATTTACTTAGCTCCCTGAGTATTTGAGTTAAATGAGAGCCCTTTCTCCCGATCTATGGCTGCTCCGCCCGGAGGCTTGCAGTGGCGGGGAGATATATGGTGATCCCCAGTTGGCTACCCCATCTAATGTAGGTGCAAATAGGTTTCAAATGCTAGGCTATTCATTTGTCATAAGTTCTGACACGTGAAAGGTGTGTGTGTGTGTGATTAATAATGTCCATTTTTGAATATGACAGTTGATCTTACTATAAGTGCCATTGCCTGTAGCCTACATATTGTTTACAATTGCTTTGAGGATCTTTAAATATGAATATCTCCATGTGGAGAGAGTCAGTTAGCCTTGGGTATCTGATTTAAGCCTCATTATGCTAATTGCCGTGGATTTATATGTTCTACCCCAGACAATGAAGAGGCTATATAGGCCTATCGCCCAGGGGCCGCAGATATGTCTGTCAAAGCGACACACTCTTCAACATGCATGCATGCACCCCTGATTCAAGTTATGCCCAAACCTACGCCAATAGACATGGATAATTTAATAAACTATTTAGCCGATTTAAAATTTCAATAAATACGTTTAGGCGTTTCCACGCATAATGAATGCGTTTTCATAAGACTACAACAATATTATTCTCCAAGGTTTAAATGGTTCAGCAAAGCAATCAAATAAGAGGTTTAAAGTTGCAAGGAAATGCCCCCCAAAATTATGACAGGCACACTTTAGAATGGTACTTTGACATGGTCCATCCCTGATTTGTTTTACTGATGAATGCCCTTCAAAAAGTTCTTACCTCTTACGCACGCCGCTCCTGGGGTCTTTGAGTGGTGTAGCCTATGTCCGGCTGTTTTCAAATGGAATATTAGCTTTCAAAGTATCACCTTGTATGTTTACTTATAAATTCCGTGCTGTTTAGTCCTGTATACTCATTTTTGAACTAGTGTCCAAACTCCTCAAAACGCTGTCTTCTTTCAGGAATACAGTAGTCCGTTTTCTGCGCGAGGTGCTCTCGCTCTCCTGTCGTTCTCGTGAGTGTGGGAGAATCCAGAGAACTGCCATATATCTGGCTCGTGCACGAGGTAAGGGCTTTAAGGACCTAGAGCGCCTGGTGAGGTCATGCAGGATTTCAAATGGTTCTTTGCTGTGCCAATCAAAAGAGGTTTCTTCTACTCCAGTCTTTCTCATGACTGATTTAGATTTCATTTCTGAATCCATGTCTGGACATTAATGTTAGCATAATATCATAAAAATGTTGGTGTATGTGGATCTGTGATCATTAAAAGTCTTAATTTAGAATACTGATATTGGCAAGGTATTATCAAATGTAGTCTATCAAATAGCAAAACGATCAAATTCTATTATTATTATTATTATTATTATTAGTAGTAGTAGTATTTTCATCCGCTTAACTTGTAGGGCCATTGCTGTATGGGTCGTTCCATGAAATGCGTGCCTTTTGCGCCCCGTTGATATTTTAAGTAGAAATTGTGCACCAATAATGAATTTAAAAGCCTATTATATTCAATTAAGTGCCCTTTTAATATAGACCACGTGGAGAATTCAATAAATCCGATTTTTGATGTGAATAAAGACTAGCTAAAGTGTCAAAATTCAGCATTTTGATATGTCCCTTCATGCCTCCTCTGTGACTTCCAGGAAGATTTTAACCCACTTCACCCCAAAATGTCTCAAAGTTTTCACCATCATTGTAAAGTCTTAGTTATTTTGTTGCTTTGACAAAGTCATTTCTGAAGATTATTAATTTCATGTGATTGGGTGACAGGGTCTTTGGCAATTGTGATTCATTTTAAGGTTAAAAATAAATAATTCCCTCATTTTAAGGTTGTTACCTGAATTGAACTCTCGTTTTATAATATGGTGAATCAATTCCTTTTTTTATTTTATTTTTTTAATCTAAGGAAACATTGAACATCTAATAGCCAAATCATAATCTATAAGCAGGTGAGCTGGTTCTACTCTTTTTTTGAAAATGTTCTGGTGTTTTGTGGTGGAAAACTGAGTGGGTCGAGCATAACAAGTCAACCCTGTTACCTATAGACAGACAGGCTAGAAATGTTTAAACAATTACTTTTATTGTGAAGCTTGCATTCAATTGCCCCTTCCTGCTGCATACAACAAGCTTCCATTCCCCCTATCACAAGGGGATTCATGGCTGACTTAAGATAAAATCTTCAAACCTAGTCATGTCAACCCTTTTATGGTCAACCCTGTTCTTTTATTTGGCACATAAAGGCCCAATGCAGCCGTTTTTATATCAATGTCAAATAATTTCTGGGTAATAATTAAGTACCTTATTGTAATAGATTTCCATTAAAATGGGCAAAATTAACTTTTTTTGTCTGGGAGTGGTTTGAGTGGGGATGGGAAAACTGAAAACAAGCTGTTATTGGCAGAGGGGTTTGGAACTCTCTTTGTTATTGGTCTATTAAGCAATTTACCACATGGTGATGTCACCATGCAAAGATGAAACTCCCCCCATGCAAACCTGCTGATTAGAAGGTCCTGTGTATGTAGATTGTATTTTCAACAAGCAACTTTCAGGAAATAACACTGATCCCAAAAAAAAATCACACTTTTACAGTGTTAGTTTCATCAGCTCTTGTACAATATGATATAAAACACAGGAAAATATTGACTGTACTGGGCCTTTAATAGGCACTTACTATAGTTTTATTTTATTTTATTTAACCTCTTGAGATTGGAAAATGTGTTTTATTTTGAACATGTGCTCTTTATGACAGAATGTAAAAATTAGGTGAAGTCATGCAATAAGGAATGTCACATGTTGCTCAGTCTATAATTGGGTATGCAGAAATTAAGGCTGTCAGAGTTCATCTGTTAACTCGAGTGAATTTCTTGTAATTTTAGGTCACGCTTTTTTTTTAAAAATCGTGATTAATTGCATTGTCTCAAAGCGTTCAAAATACAAAAACAATCGAAATACAGCGTCTATACAGCTAAAAACAACATTGCATGTTAAAACAAGTTGACATTGAGGTTAAAGTAAGTGTGCTTTATCAATTTACCTGATTCTGCTTACCATTCGCCTACTTTGGACAAAATCAAGACATCAATATTATTGTAATGCTTTTTGTATAAAACGTCTTAAATTACAGCTCATTTTGAACAAATTCTGAATTTGTGATTAATTATGATTAATGAAATCAAATCCTGCGATTAACTCGATCACATTTTTAATCGTTTGACAGCCTTAGCAGAAATATAGCCTAAGTGTTTCTTTCCTTGAGTCTAATTTTCTTAATTAAAATATAGCCTACATCTGGCAATTGCTTTGCATTTCGGCCTAAGCACTTTGTAGCCTATATCTTTGATCAATGTGCAGTCTATTTTCAAATGGAACTTGGAACATTGACTAAAATCCACTATCCCATTTTGCAAACGCATGCAGTATTATATTAGTCTATATGTAATAGCCTAAAAGGGTAGCTATAATAATTCAAATCAGTGGTGTAAATAAGACTTATGATTGTTCATCCAAGAAGTGCCAATGGCTTCAATATCGCTTTGATTATAGTGGTTTGCATGCAGGTTTTGGGGTGTTTTAAAGGGTTGATTTACTCATGCATTAATTTTATTTGCTTTTCGACTTTGTCGAGCCATTTGCTGAGGAGACTGCGGTGGAGAGATGGGTAATAGATGCCAGGGTACTACTGCCTTTAGAAACTCTCCCGGCCTCAAGGGATTTAGGTTAGGATTGGGGAGACAAGACGCTATTTCAGCCTCCAAAAAAACTGTCTTAAAATGACTGCTGGTAAGAGGATTAAAACAATAATGCCCCCTCTCTTCTTCAAGGTTTTTAGAAAAGATTTCTTCTCCCGGAGAAAACCCGTTTAGGCTGGAATTAAGGGCAGCGAAATGTAGCCTTCTAAGGTAGCCTAACGCTTGCATATTTTGTTGAATTTCTCCAAGAGAGAAGGTGAGAAAGAGAAGGGAGGGAGGGTGTGAAATCTTAAACTCAATTTGATCTTTGACCATATTCATCCATAGAAGTTTAGACTTCGATCAAACACTGTATGAAAAGAAAACGTATGCACTCTCACGACTGAGTTACAATCCAGTCTTGTTGTGAAATGCCAATAACGACTTTTCCTGAGAAATCCAGTAAAAAGTGTGTGCAATACTCAAGGCGAATATGCTGTTCTATTTTCTTTGTAGGTCGTGTAATTCTCACATCTTAATTGATTAAATGTATTCCATGTAATACATCAACATGTAATAACAGGGTACGGGAAACACTTGGGAAACCTCTGAAGCAAATAGGGAAAATTATAGGCCTATTAAATTGTTATAGATAATGAATAAGCCGTGTTGGCGTAGCTTGGTGGATTGAGCAGGTTGGCAGGACGCCATGTGACATCTTTACACAGTGAATTTATCAGCAACAACTTACTGCTGTCATTTATGCATCACCCATCGCGCCCCCAGGAGAGCATTATGCGCAACAGATAGCCTTGTTCAATATCGCTTACCAATGTTCTTGTTTATTTGTGATCCTTCATTAGATTACGTAAAACAATGATCTATGCAGCTCCAGTATTTTCAAAGATGGGTTTATTCAACATCAGAATGGGATTTTTGATGGAACGCAGGCCTTCTCTTGTTGAAAAATATCGATTTAGTGACAAAATTTGGCATGACATAGTTCCTGATTTGGGTCTTGAGACTCCAAAACTACGATGATATGATGACTTAATAGTCATGAAATTCCATTTAATAATAATTACAATGATATAGCCCTAATTGTCATTTTCAATATTCAATGAATACGCCTTTTAACTGATCATTAATGATAGGGTTAATAATGAAAATAACGACAACACATTTAGCAATTTAATAATAAAACAAATTTGGGACTTAATTCGTATAAATGCACATTCGTTTCCAATTGTTTGTTCTTATTTTGGGGGAAGTTTTTAATGCTTCAAGCCGACACTGTTCCTCTCCGTCTTTTGTCAGCACAATATATCACTGAGTATTTGGGTCTGGGAGAGAAATTGGATTAACTTGTGAACCGATAGAAATAAGAACTTAAACGGGAGGTAAATCTGGGCAGTGTCTCTTTGTGGAAACCGTTTCTAAAGCAATTAAAGAGAGAAGACATTCCTCTCAGCTACTCTTCCTCAAATCAGCTTTCTACATAACTTAATGCGGGCTAATGTCCAGCGCGTTTGAGGTGTTTAAAGCCAAGTGTAACGACGAAGACGTACTCCCATTAGAGCATTATTACTGCCACCACTGGTCTCTCTCTCTCTCTCTCTCTCTCTCTCTCTCTCTCTCTCTCTCTCTCTCTCTCTCTCTCCATCCTCTCTCTCTCTCTCTCTCTCTCCATCCTCTCTATCCTCTCTCTCTCCATCCTCTCTATCCTCTCTCTCGTTCTCATCCTAACACCCTCTAACTTTTCTAGCCCTTATTTCGAAATTCATCTCAGATTTCCACGGATTTGGCACTAGCCTCATTGTTCTCCCATACCCGGCAACGGCTCCTTTCAGACTTTATCATGTATAAGCCTCGACTGACGTGAATTATCGTCTTTGCTCTCCATCATCTCTGAATGACGCATAGGCCTGCCTGCTTTCAGGATCTAAAACTTTATCCAGTCGTATCAGGACTTTGGCAGTCTATGCCGTCATAAACCAACTCGAGCGGTAAAACACTATGGAAACACGAAACGATTTTCAGTTACAGTTTAATCATGTTTATCATGCACAAGCATTTGTAATTTTTACACCCCAAAAATTTAGCACATTTTCGACAGATATTTTGCATCAATCGAGTGGAAAGTTGAGTCTCTCAAAGCAGAGTCATTATTAGGTTTTCACAACTTCATGAATACATTATTCTTC